ACGAACTCCACGAAGCGAAAGGAAGATCTACTAGATATTAATTAAATTATAAATATATCAATTCATGTGAATATGACTGAAAAATTGCATTTTTTCTGAAAAAATGGTGTCTATTTACTTGTGACCACGCTGTGTATATTAAAAATGATATTTATTTCTATTTCATATTTTTGTATTTCATTAGCATATTTAAGGATCGTTAAGATTGTTTTCCTTAAAGAACCTCTACCCTATATTATGTAGCTCGAATTGTAGACCCTTCTAAACATCTAGGTCTTTTGGAATTAAAAGGACAAAGGATGATCAATATTCAAAATCTGATCACAGAAATCAGGAAGTTACAAATGTATATTCTTTCTAACTCTGATGATTAGCGTTGGAAAATATAAGTAAATGAGACAATGTAAGTCGAAGTGTAAAAAAACATACAATTTTACTAACTTTAAAATTTTGTGCTTTTTCTCTCCTTTTAAAGAATTTTCATTTTCAAAAGCATGACTGACCGATAGTTGTCAGCCAAGTTTTACAGGTTACATGTAAATCTTTCAAAGTAGCTCCTTCTTCTTCTTGTATATAATTGTTAACCGTTCACAACACAAGTCATGACATTATATTGTTCAATAAGATGTTAATGTAATTAAATGTGCCATAAAACATTAGTATTAGGACTATTATATTTTAATCCTACATTCTTTATTCAATCCCTTGGGGTTTTTCAAGAAGAAGAAGAATGTACAATAGTATTTCAACCACACTATGTCCACCATATCCATTGTCTCTAAGTTCAGATCTCCCTAACATATACATTGCTACATTTTTTCATTTGACCCCGTAAAATAAAAAAAAAGGTACAAATTTCAAATATATCAGCTTTATGCTGTCAGGTTGTTGCAAAGTATCTTTGTGCAAAGTCTCGCCTATAGTGGTCGAAACATAGAAGAATGGTAGACCAAAAACGATAACTGTGTGAAATATTAATACTTTTGCCATTTAAAATCTTTAAAAATAAAAAGAAAGATAATAATCTAAATATCGTTCTGTGGGGGCTGTCGCAAAGCATCGTTGTACAAAGTTTCATCTGAATTAGTCGAAATATAAATGAATGGCAGACCAAAATCCCCAAAGTCTCATGCTTGTTTGTTTCAGTCTGTGAAAGTCGTTACAGGGTATCTTTGAGCAAAGTATCGTTTGGATTGGTAAAAAGATAAAGAAATAAAAGGCCAAAAACCCGAATATTCTGATTGTTTTATTTTTATATTTAACCCTTAAAAATCAAAGAAAAAGCACAAATCCCAAAATATATTTTAGCTATGTGGATTGTGAAGTATTTTTGTGCCAAACATTATTATAATTGATGGAAATATGAGGGAATTGCAGGCTAAGATATGTGTGTTTGTAATGTTTGACATTAAACCTCCAAAAATCAGAAAGAAAACTTAAATTAAAAATATATCAGGATATCTGAGCGTATTGAACCAAGGCACATGCTATATAAGTTTCGAGACGATCAGTTCAGAAATAAAGAAGTGGCACACAACTGTACTTGCTGGAAATAAGAAGAAAGAAACCTATAAAATACAGCATGTAAAGTGGAGACATAATTAATGTCAGTCGTTAATATACAAACACAGAGAGAAATGGTGATTTGTTGTTTGCTATTTTCTTAGTGCTATACAATGGGTTGTATTCATTCTGTCCACCGGGGGAAATCGAATCTCAAAATTTTAGCGTGGAAGTCCGTAAACTTACCGCTGGCCAGGGGACAGGAAATGCTATTAACTATTTTAGTATTTACACTGCAAATTGAAACTAGATTAATTAAGACTACAGCATCAGTTAACATAGTTTAAATTCGATATACGACAATAATGTTATGGTTAGCAGGTTTTAATTAAACTTACATATTTCATGGCAGTTGGCAACCAATTTGGAGTGACCTGTGGACTAATAAGTTATTCATAATCAAGCCTGTTAGTGAATATTAGCCATCTAGTTAGTGCAGAGTTCGAAGGTATGAATTGGTTGTAGAGAGACAGCATATTGTTAATTTTCTTTTTAATTCACCATCATCTTTTAAAGTTGATCAGCCAGTATGTGACACTTGGCTGTCACTTATACTTTATTTTTCCACTGGTATTTCTATATTCAACGGATGCATTATTTTAAACATTTCTTTAGATGTACCTTTGCAGTAGTTTGAGTTTGTAAAAGAAGAGCCTTACTTGCAATTGTTAGTAGGTTAACGTTTTAACTCAGTTGGTATAGAACTCGTCTGATGTGGGAAAGTTTTTGGGCTCAAAACCAAGTAGGAGGAATAATAATAATAAATCACCACAGATAAACTGGTCCCAAATATTCTCAATAGGAGGAGATTCAATTTTATCTCATTCACTCTGTGTCCCAACTTGGTGGTGCCTCCAGTAGTCATTGAGGTTTGCTATAAGAAAATTGTGTGTTTATTTGCTACTATTTTAACATGCTTATATCTTCCTGTAAATAATAATGCTTTTTTTATATAATTTAAATTGACTGAGCACGGGACTTTCGCATTTTATTAAATGTTTACACCTTATAGACAAATAAAAGTGCATTTCCTGTTCATGTATTGCATGAAATTACATGATAGAACTGAAATTACACTAATAAATATATAATCGTATCAGAAAAAACTAACATTAGCAAGTTATTCACCATGATTTCACATGCTTCGTCACAATGTTTCCTAAAAACACTTTGAACTTAATCTTCATGATATAGTGTTTCTTTCGTGCCAGTTTGACCTATTATATTTTTTTAAAATATTTTATTGATAATATTGAAAGTTTGTGAAAGAAATAATAACATAATTTTAACGCAAGTCCTATTTGCGTGTGGTGGGATATGTGACAAACGGGAAGTCATCGCTGAGGTAATATCAAACAACATCGACACAGTGTGTTAAAGAGGTTTCTTAGTCAGATTTATAAAAACTTGTCCTTAAAGTGTATTTATCACAGTTGTTTTAATCCGAATGTTCTGAAGTCTCGTAAATCTGAATCTTCTTCTTTTTTTTTTTGCTTTTAAAACAAGAATTAAGGTTTTGGTAAAATTTTAGCATTAGGCCTAGTTCATATGTAGAAGACAGTAATTATACTCGATGTCACATAGAATATAATTCTATAGAGTCTTTCAGTTAGATTCTGGATTTGGGGGAGATCGAAAAGAAAAAAGTGAATCCTTGCTTCTTTACAAAGGCATTTTGACAGTTTCTTCTTCTGATGGTTGTCAGTAATAATATACAATGCCAGCCACCGGAGGGCAGCACACGCAACACAATTTCAGTAATGCGAGATGACACTTTGTCCTGCTAAGACTCCTTGCCTTTAGTTCATTTAGCAAAGCACTCACCTGGCGTGCGAGCAATTCCGCGTTCACATTCTACACGCGAGAAATGCGAATATTGAAAGATTTATTGCCATATCTTTTTCCGTTCGGGAGTGTCATTGGAAATAGCTACACGTTTGAATGGACAATATTTTCATTTTTTGTGTACCGTTGAATTTTTTTATATAATTTAAGTTTTTATCACTTGCTTTTACTTTTTTACTCTTGAACTTTTGTATTTAGTAATTTGTATGTAACCTTAAAGCTTTACAGGTTTTTTTTATTGTTGTAATTTTCATCATCATATAGCGTGCTGCAAAGCAATAATTCTGAATAATTTTGTCATTTATATATTTTGGAAGTTTCATATTGCCCTGAATATTTTTTTGTAAACTCATGACTGGGTACTAATTCCTATATGAGTATTTCGGATCATTTGAAGAATTGCTTCATGTTGTTAAAATGTTAGGACTCGTTTCAAGATAGTAAGTTTGACTGTAATGACGATGGTAGTATAAAATGAGTGTTTGAAGTTTAAAAACATTTTCTTTTTTCTTTATAATCAAAAAGAGTATACTAAATTTGTTATTCAAAGTAATATTGTAGTTAACACTTGTTACACTTTCTCATCGCTCTCAGCTCATCAAAGTAAAACAGAAAGTTTGTCACATTGTGCATTAGAGAAAAATATTTTGTGGCATCGTGTCCAGACAGTTACTAAGACTTCCAGTGGCACTTCAGTGTAACACACATAAATCAGATACTGTGTCCAGACAGTTACTAAGACGTCCAGTGGCACTTCAGTGTAACACACATAAATCAGATACTGTGTTCTGACAGTTACTAAGACGTCCAGTGCCACTTCAATGTAACACAGATAAATCAGATACTGTGTTCTGACTGCTACTAAGACGTCCAGTGCCACTTCAATGTAACACACATAAATCAGATACTGTGTTCTGACAGTTACTAAGACGTCCAGTGCTACTTCAATGTAACACAGATAAATCAGATACTGTGTTCTGACAGTTACTAAGACGTCCAATGTCACTTCAGTGTAACACACATAAATCAGATACTGTGTTCTGACAGTTACTAAGACGTCCAGTGCTACTT